TCTCGGAAGTACGAGTGAAGTTGTCACTTTAGTCTCGGAAGTACGAAAAATAGTTTTTCTGTTGCTCTATCAGCAAAGATATTAAAATGTGAAACCGGCCGTTAAGTAGATGGATTATTGCTTTAGATAATCAAATGGATGTCACATAATGCATAAATAATTTTAACTGTCAGTTTCTCAAAATCTTATATTTAAAACAACCTCGAGTCATAATTAGTGAAGGCGAATGCAAATCCACTAAAAGAATTTTCTAAGGAGATTTGAGTCTTGTTTTTTTTTCGACCGGTCCATCATTGATTTAAAATTTTGATCGAAGTTATTTTTATGGAAATTGTGCCTTCCAAAAATTCAAACGATTTTCGAAAATTACTTGTGGCTACAAATTCAGTTTCCGTCCGCTCGAAGGCTTTATTCCTGGAGGTGAAAACAGTAAGGTAAGTTTTGATTTGATCTAGCTTATGTTTACTTTCTTAACTTTTACTACCTATTTTTATACGACACTCTCAGTCCCACATCGTGCATCTTACCTAGGAGTAGCGTTAAGGTACTACCACTATGGGAATTATGTTGCACAGACCTGGGGCCTGTAGAGGGACGTAAAATTCGTATTCATACAGAAATCTGGGCGAGACATCCAAGCCAAGTCGTTTAAATCCATCAGTCTACAGCGTTTCTCGTAAAACTAATCAAGAAACTATTATTGAGCGGCACAGAAGGGGTGAGGTACACTGGGGCCCGAAGCCATCAGTAAACATCAATGTGATTTTCAACCATGAACTTGCTAACTCGCTTAACAACGACTCTGTAATCGTTGGAGCTGCACGAGAGAGCAGAGGGAGTTCTTTCTCTGCTGCTGTGATTTTTGGTGGTAGACGGACTGCTAAGGAGATGAAGTGAGGCGGGCTACGCTACACCACAGTTGCTTATACCGATGACACGTGGTACGTGGCAGATTTGAACCGATCGTATCAGTTGTCATGCAGGGAGCTTTAAACCCAGTGGAAACATGGTTTAGTACCATGAGACCAGAAGAGGGCATGTCTATTAATCCAACAACACAAACCTCATTCTCTTCTCACGTAGAAAAGGGCCGACAAAGCTAAAGGACATAACATAATAATGTACGGCATCCAGCTGCATGTAGTAAGAGAAGGTATATACTTGGACGTCAGCTAGGGAATGCAATACCGGGATCGCGGGATACCGGGATCCCGCAGCATTTTTGCGGGATTAATCCTGCACATAAATGGAGCGGGGTCCCGTGGGATTTGCGGGATTGAGGAATTTGTCGACCAAGGGGACGACTCTGTTTTCTTTGTTAATGAAACTCATAACGGAGAAATAATTTTTAAAATAATTGTTAAACTTTTTTCGTTAAAAATGTACTATGATTTTTGAGGAACTTTAGAAGTTCACCTTTTTGTGCTTTACAGGCGATTTTTTTTTGAGTTCTAAGTTAGGCTTTTTTGTTGAACACTTATTGTGATAATTAGCGATTTTTTTAATACAGAAGTTAACCGCACAGAATTGCTTATTTGTCAATTTATTTAAAATTTTGCGTGATCCCGCAAATACCGGGATCCCGCGGGATTAACATCTAACGATCCCGCAAATACCGGGATTGAGATTTTGCTGCGGGATTGCATTCCCTAGGCATCACGTTAGACCAAAGGGCTCACCTACAAATCACATCTGGTAAAAATATCGATCAAAGCCACAAGATCCCTGTGAGCCTGCAGCCGAGCGTTCGGGAGCAAGTGAGGCCTCTCACCAAAAATGACCTACTGGTTTTATAAGAGTTCTGTTGAACATGTGGTTGGCCAACCTCGAGTGGAACTTGAACCCGTGGTTGAGTGGCCTTGCGCTTTATAAACACTTTTCGAAACGTGGTTGGACCCGCGGTTGAGATTTGTTTTCTACGAGTGGCATTACTGTCTCGGAAACTCCCACCAATGAGAGCCCAACGTTTGATTCTCCCGCCACGCGTGGGGACACGAACGCCAGCCGATCAGCTTACTATTGCCATAAATAAAACATCAAAATTTTATTAAAATTTCACCAGTGTACATTAGGTATAGAGGATGGGAGACTGTCAAAAACTTTTTTTTTAATATCTGGTTTTGGCTAGGAAGGTGTTCTGTCCAGAATTTGGCACATGGTTTTAATGGAGATCTATTATTATGTTATCAAAAAATCTCTAAACCTTCCCCATATAGTTTTATTCGTTGAAGTTTTTAAAAGTAAAAGCGACTATAGTTTCGCTATAGTTTTTTTTACTTTTAAAAACTTCAACGAATAAAACTATATGGGGAAGGTTTAGAGATTTTTTGATAACATAATATATTTCAACCCCCATTTCGAGGAACGATGGATCCAACTCAAAAAAAGGAGATCTATTAGTCTGATCCCACATAAGGCTAGTCTTCGCCCATCTGTTTATCGACTGAAATACATTTTTTAGCAATCTCAATATGCAAACGAACACATTGCAAATGGATTACCTAAAAAGTTACGGTTGTCGCAACTTTAAGTAGCGCTTGAGAAAAATACATATGTATTGCTCCATGTTTCTGGATTCTGGATTACGATAGGAGGGTGAACAGGGTCCACGAGTACTTAGGCCTCAAATTCGGGCCCTTTGTACTACGTCCCTGCTAGGGTCGCTCGATCCCTCAAGGGCACTCAAGCCATCCCACACGTGAGATGAACCTTAGGACGCTGGAAGGGGAGGCGGCTCTAACCCTAGCCATGTGAAAGATGACGTAACGTGCTCGTGGTGTAGGAATCGGATGTAAGAGCGTGCGTTTGCCGCTCTCTCCATGGGATAGAAGCAGACAGAAATATCAATTAAGTACATTCATTTTGATTAAGGGTAGCCTTGACTTATTTTTTTACGCTAACCCATTTGCAATGTGTTTATATTAAAATTGCAAAAATATGTATTTTACTCGGTAAACAGATGAGCGAAGATTGACTTTATGTGGGATCTTGTACTATATGAAAATCGTAGTTTTTCGCACGCATTTGATATGCAGATATTGAGATATAACAAAATAGCTATTTATATATGAAGTACATAAACTGGGTCTTTATGGACAAGTTGGTTATTTGGCCGAGCGAGCTTGCGAGCGAGGCGCATATAAACATGGCGAGTTCACATCAAGCCTATTTATCGACGTGATATATACAAAGCTTTATGTACGACAGCAACAACCCTTAAACAACAACAACAGATGTTAAGCATTTGTCAAGTTTTTTGGATCGACACCTTACTATACGACTGCCGTTTTACTTTATTATGGACTAGGGCCTAGGCCATAATATTGCAAATTACGGCCGATAATTACGACTGTAATCACTGTATTATCAAGCAGTCGTACATAAAGAATGTATCTACTTAACTCCAAACGTTTATAGAAATATGGGATAGGTCCAAATTTCGCAAGGATAAATTAGTTCATGAGCAATCGATTTGTTAGAACTGACATTTCCGTTACAAAATAGAATCCATGCAGGAAATAGCGTAAGTATCAATGTCAGTTCGAAGGAAGTAAATAGTAATTCCCTAGCTTCAAGGTTTAAAATTAAGGAAAAGCACCATATTAAATGAAGAGGGGTCATTACCAACGATTTGTACAATTTAAGCGATTGCATTACCTTATTGTACCTAATTTACTTTGTTTACTTTATCGACAAGTTTTTTTTGTTCATATTACCGATTTCTACAACAGTACGGTTCGGCAATACGATACCCTCTGGTATCGGTTGGTTTTTTTCCAAAGTGAAACAGGTCAGTTTCTATAAGTTTATATTTCCTATAAAACTTTCCGTTCATTCAAATTGCATGCCGGTTCAATTTTTGGGGATCTACATTTAATTTCCCAGTCTCACAGTAAGAAACCTTAACAATTGCCCTCTTTTCTCAACCTTCAACTTTTATGTTTACGATGCTAAGACTTTGGTCCATTATGCAATTCAAATAATGTTATCGAAAGTATGTTTGTAAAAACAACTTTATTTTAATAGATAATGCTGCTCTTTCCCACATTATTCCGCAAATAGAACTTAGATTGATCTGCACACAAATTTAGATGTTAAGCACACTTGCTGATGAGACAATCGGAAAGTATATAGATCTTAACATAACGTTCTTGGGATAGTGACCTTCTAATTTCTACCTCAATGTATGTTACAGAATGTCAAGAGCATGAAAATTAAGTCCAATGCTTGCTTGCATGCGACATCATTTTTCCTACTGATCTTTGGGTCCTGCTCTGAATTGCTCAAAACCTGACTAAGATGCGTTCTTCAATTGCAGTTTGCACGGTTTGAGTAAATCAATCAAGTTGCAGACGGATTGCGTACTACTCTTCTTACTGCACTTTTTATTAATTACAGATTTTTGGAAAATGATTAGTAAAGTACCTATATCAACATTATAGAATAATTGCACCGTGCGGTTTTCAAATTCATGTAAATGCCCCTAATTAGTATATCTTGAACCTTGAGTCCCTTATTTTGTCACATAAGACATTGCATGAATTTACTGTGTGATAACATCTGTTGTTATGAATTACTTGTACTGTAAGTGCAGTAGCCCTATTATTAGGTATTGCTGTCAATGACCGCGTTTTATGAGTCTTAAGCGTTAAGCCACAATTAACAGTCAACGGTCAGTATTGTACATGCAATTAAGATAATTCACGTTTGCTTTTAGTTACAGCCGCTAAGGCCGGTTTTATAATTTATTCGAAGAAAATAGCTCTCCTAATGTTACGGGTTGTTTTAACCTATCGGCAGTTTGTACGATAAATCATATTCCTCTAGAGGACTCGCAGTAATTTAAAGCGTTTGTCTTTGGGTACTTTTTGGCAAATTGACCTTCGCATTTTTACTTTCGTACTTCCCTTATTTGAATAGGTCTCATACCTATGTATCTGTAAGGGCCGTCTTTATGTTGCATAGAACATAAGCACGCGAGGTTCCAAAACACAAGTCAAAAAAATTATACGTTTAGATTTATTTTCTGAGATGATTAAATATAACACTTAAACTTGTAGGTACTTCTATACGCATATATGCTTTTTCTTCAATCTAGAGGTCTTTAAGTGATCCTATTAACCGCAGAATGATGCAGCTATGGTAATGAAACCTAGTTTCTTCATTTGGTGATCACGATGGTAATTTAAGATGAATGTGCAGCACATTTTTCAGCAGAGCCCAGTTCCTTTTCGGATATATCTGTAATTAAGGGTAAAATGTTAATATTCAAAAATTTTTCGGACCGGGTTACGCTGTCATTTATTTTAGGCTAGTCTGTAGTTGAGACGCTTACCTCTCTAATCATATCCAAATGGCTACGTTATCTGCAGCTGCAACATTCACTTTATTCCACGTTTTTCTAGGCTTCCAAAAGGAAATCTGAACGAAGACGTCGATGAAAGCGAGGACTTTGAGGAATTTAGTCCACTTTTTTCTTTCATTACACGGCGATTGTTGTTTGCAACGGGATGAAGAAACCGATCAATCACTTGTCGGATTTGAGAGTGTTTACGATTGAAAGGATTTGTGTACATTTTCACGAGAACTTCAACTCACTAGCAAAGCACGTTGTTAACTATTAGAACGTTGATTTCTGAATGCCGACTCCGCTAGTGTGAAACGTATTTATAGGAGGGATTGTATACTGTATATTGACCATTTGAACTTATTACGTTCGGTTTCCTTGATGGGTGACAAGGCCAATGTCGAGTAATTGGCTAATACGTGCAAGGCGTCAGCACGCTAATAGGATGGGACAACATACGTCGTTTTGAAAAAATTAATGGATTGACGTATTTTGACTGGCACACTCCTCTAAAATTGCAGCGCAAAATATATAATCACGTACACACTATCTTTATCATTAAGTTAAAGTATATTAACTGACGAAACATTATGCAATTGTTAGAAACTATTTAACTTCATTTTTAATTGTTCTGGTATCTGCGACTAACGGGTTTCCAATCTTTCCAGTGAGCACAAATCTACACAACGGGTGCAATTATAATGATTTCCTGAGTAACTTTACTGCACATTATGGGCATAGATTATTGTTTTTTTAATTACTTAATCTGTTATGATGGGCCTTATAGGTTAGTACGTGGACTGTCGGTGCTTTATAGTGTTGGGTCTTAAGCTAATTATAATTAAACTAATATCCATTATAAGAATCCAAGATCCACGTTTCGATGTGAGGAAACGTATGTAATAATTGGCAGCTTCTTGACTCCAGACATGCAGGAGCCCCATATTCATGGAGGGCTGCGGTGTATGATTAAGGATTATGGTGCACCGGAATTTATTACTTAAGATACACAACCCGCCTTGATTTTCTGAATGGAACCCTCAGACTAACTACCTATGCTTGCATTTTCACGAAGTTCTCATTTATGCATAATCGAAGTTTTTATTTATCTCGAGAATGTCTCCATTATTGAAGATGGCTTCCATACCACTGCAGTCACACTTACGGGGTTGTTAACGGAATTTTTAACTAGTGAAAGTATATAAACCTTTAGATGGGAAGTGATATTTTTCCGTTGTTTTTTTTAACCTTCTTGGCTTCTACAAAATGACCAACGCATAATACCTGACGGAGTGGTAAAATACCGCAACCATTTTTTTGTAATAATAATTTACTTAATTATTAATTTAAAAAAATAATAATATTTATTATTACAAGAAATGTTGCCACGGTATTTCATTCAACCAACGGATATAATTGCACTAGCCCTAGGGATGATTATAAAGGAATTCACCTAAGATGTGGAATTATTGTAACTATTCTCCAATATGTTTCATTGTATTAACGTACTACTATTAATATAATAATTTACGACGCACTTTACCTAAGAGAACTGCAAAACATCAAATGCCTGGAAGAACATTTTGGCTACCCTGAGGCGTCTTCTTGTGGAAGCTGGAAGCTGTGGTATAAAATATGTAAAGAAATTAAAATGCATTATTCTCAGATGGGGGTAGTAGAAAATTTGAGATGGAATTATGCTCTGTTTAATCCCATGGTGCAACCATCATATTATAAGCCCATCGATCATCGAATTCGATTAACTTGGTCAGTTAAGTTTACCGTAACCTCTAATAATCCACTTGACTCAGGCTGTGGATGTAAAATGTGTCGAAGAATTTTCGAATTAGCTTGCTTGAAATCTCTTCTGAAAAAAAAGTTAAAAGCCGGCGAAGACGAAATTGATATCTATGGTTTTTTTTTCGATATAAAACTGTAATGAGGGGGTATTTTATATATCAACAAGGGAAATCGGTAATTAAATTGGAGCTACCTAATTGTTGGTCAGAACTCATTATTAAGATGCGACAAATCTACTTTAAACTCACCTTTCATTAGAAACGTCCTTCTATATAATCTACGCATAAGGGGTTGGCATGGCAGCATTCAGTCTGACTGGTCGTCTCCCGCGCTCAAGGGTCATGTAAACAAATATCGCGACTGCTTAACCGCAATCCTCGCCAATTAATTAAGTAACTCACCGGGGGGCGTTAGCCCCGAACTGGCACTAAGCGCTCCTGGATCTCCGAACACTCCGGTTGGCGATTGGGGTTGAATGCGTCGTTGGAGATGGTTTCCTGAAGGGTTAAGATGGAGCTCATACCTATTTGGGAAAGGGTTACGCCGCGCGCACGTGTATTATTTAGGATACACATCCCGCCTTGGCCCTCTGACTAGGACCCTCGGCCAATAGATCAGTAACGTCGATCTATGTCACTCATTGCCCTACCTGGGAACGACATCCAGGTCGAGCCCACCCCCGAACTGTTTGTGTTAACAATGAGGCCTTTATGTTTCGTATTGAGTCGACACCATGATCTACTCGAGCGAGTAGATCACTCAGGGGTATACTCAACGGGAGCTACCCGCGAGACCGCGTCATAGGCACACGCACATAATGCACTCTAAAAGCCTAGGTATATATCCGGATATCTGCCAGGGGTTTTACCATAGCCCAACAACAATGCACGACCAGCACGATGGCCTGCACAAGACACTCACCACCTACATGTGGGAGACACTCACCACCTACACGTGGGAGACACTCGCCACCTACATGTGGGAGACACTCACCACCTACACGTGGGAGACACTCACCACCAACGCGTGGGAGACACTCACATTAAAGGGCTATTACACCAAACTCACTAATACGTCCGATGCTCTACTTAGCTTCCCTTATACGATCGTGACCAGAGCGTGTACGCAACTTAACTGCCTTAACACGATCCCTTAAGACCCTTGCACCCATATGTGCAGAATCGCGCATACTTGACCAGTCAGCTTGCCACATTTATCAAATAGGGGTTGCGTTGACATTTTACTTTTTCGTTATTAAGGACTACCCTAAAATATGGTTCTTACAAAACTAACGAATCTAAAATTATGTGTGGACATTCGAAAAAAGGTGAAGGGCGACATCACCTAAGCATGTGCATACCGAGTGTAGACCAATGACAGTTTTCCTTAGTAATAACGCGTCTTTAGCAGTTCAGTAAATGTTAGAGTGCAGTTTTTATTCTTATGGTGCGACGGTAGTCCGCGCACAAAGGGCTTGATATTAAACGGTAAGATTATTAGTGAAATTTAATTTAACAGAAAAAAGAAAATAAATGACAACTTATGACAGCGGCGGCAGTCGGCGGAACCCTGGATGTAGTGGTCGGCTGAATGGTACAGAAATATAGAGCACCACCAGCAGGTTTCAAACCTGACTCCTGGTTAAGGACGGCGGTTTCGGAACGGAAATTCAGAATCCACGAGTACTCAGACAGAAAAACGGAAAATTCAAGAGATCATGTGGACAAGAATAATGGTAATTTATTGTGAAAAGCAGAGATAAATTTTCATAAATGGAACAGAGTTCACCATGAGACGCGTAACTTAATGATCTGATTAAACATAAATATACATGTATAAAAAAGATTTAAAAAATGAAAAAAAGAGATGTACCTAGTATAGTCAAAAACAAAACTATGGCATTCGGCACGGTAGCAATTTCCCAAATCGAAACCGAAGCACAACTTAACAACGGTTCTTACTAGCTACTGGAAAACGAAACAAGGAACATAAACCCCCTTTAAACATAATCGAATGAAAATATCAAGCGCTTCCCTTGAAATTCACCGGTACGTTCAAATGCAAAAATTTACCAAAATGACACGAAGCCAAAACGGAAAGAAAGATCTTAGATCGTGTTGTTACCTTATAATAAACTTCCCAAAATACGGAAAGGGAACGTCGAAAATACCCAACCGAACCGGTCCAAAAATTAAACTTTTTTATACTTTCTTTACTTAATTACCAGTCTCCCTGACGTCCTAAAAACTGGAGACTAATCTTGAAATCTAAGTTAATTAAGTGCGCTTCTTTTGATACTAAACCCAATCTAATCTGACGAAGTTTTCTGCAATAGAGTTAATTAAATACGGTTAATTATACTCACTTAAATGGTTGGATTAAAATTTCTAAATTCGGTAGTCCCATAATGACGTTACCTGGAATTTCCGGTCAATCGCAAAAGTTCCGCGATAATGAAATAAACTGCACGACCTCGCTGATCTAATGCTAGTTTTCGCTTAACGTTGGGAAACCAAAATCGGTTAATAATTAATTAACGGAATCCTAAAATATTAATTCTTCCCCTGCTTCCTCATGCCGAGGGCTATCGGATGCTACAAAAATAATGTATATATGTCTAATGGAACAATTATTAGAAACTTTACAATTATTGCGCATCGGAATTTAACGATTTCTGCGTTGTTGTGCCAAGTTTGCAGATGAATTTTTGTGTTTCTGGTTACTTATAGAGACAGGTCAACTAAATTTCAAATAGTGTTCCTAAATATGGTGTAAATACGGAAGAGACTAATCCTTTGGTTTATTTTCCGACTAAAAGTTGATAGGTCCACAAACGCTTCGTTACCGATCTACAAGATGTAGTAGTTCTACTGCATACTTTACAATTTAATCCTTTAATTTATAAACATAATATGCAAACACAAGATACGATTTTCAATTCAACTGTCAAAACTAATGTTATCCAAATAAAGCCAGGGACTTCTGGACCATTTTAAAAATTACTTGAAAATTGATTTTTATTTTTTTTTACTCCATAACGGTCACAGATACAAAAAAATTTTAAGAGATCAAAAAATTTCTAGAAAAATCATAAAACCAAATTCTTGTTTCAGAATCTACCAGTGGCGCACCAAAAAAGAGTTCATGGGTAGAAAATGGAACATGACTCATGAAAAAACGACTAATCTAAAAATTTGAAGGAGATATGAAGAAAAAACTTGAAACCTTAACACCCTGTAAATACGTACAAAGCATTTGCAGACCTATGTTTATAACAAAATAAGCCAAAGAATTTAGCCCCTTCCGTATTTACATTATAATTGGGAACACCCTGTATATTATAAGGTGTCAACGCAGATATGGTGGAAACCTAATTTATATTCAGGTGTACTATATATAATACAACGAGTGGGTTTACAATTTCCAGAAATTTTCAAGCTGTACACATGAGTGCTTGTCGAGATCAAAAATGATCACTATTTTCTGTCTGTGTCGTCACTTTATATAGATT